TAAATAATTCATTACGGGTGCAGGATTTTCTCGCTGAATTGAAGACCCATTGGTGGCCTTGGGCTGTTTTTTGCTCTTTGGTCGGTTGTTGTCTCTTTGGCACATTCTGTTTCCATTCTCTTTTATTAAATGATTTGACGTACACATTTTAATGTGGAAAGTGCATTGATCATGTTGATGCAAGAATTTCTTGAACATTAATCATTATTATAAGAATTCACTTGCAAAATGTAATTTACAGTATCATTGTTCTAATAGAAAACAATGCACAAAATGTTTTATTGTAAACAAATTAATTTTATTTTTCCATAGATGTTGACAAGAATAGAAATCAATGACAAATATTTGGAGTTTTTTTATGTACAAAATTGTATGTAATTAATCTTGCACTGAAATTTTATAAACTGACTATCTCTGAATTATTGAGAACTTTGTAATACAGTTGTGCATACATCCATATATATTTTTTACACATAAAGTGAAAAAGTATATTTTAACTAGCAGGTCGAACAACGGATGTTCTTAAACCCTGCTGACTGCCATGGCGATTGCCAAATAAACGGATCACAGATGTAACAAAATGGATCTTAATTTTAATCTAATACCAAATAGAAAACAAAAAACTTGCGGAAAAGATGGTATACCGCAAAAATGAGGTGCAAAAATTTGTACATATACAGGTACCTGTAGCTTTGAGGTTTCAAATCAGACCCATAATTACAAACATGTATGTTAGATTGTATTGATGGAGGTCATTTGACTGGGAGCTAGTACAATGTCCATGTACAATTTCAAGGTGTTAAGGTCATTATGTTTGAATATTTGAGTGTCATGCATCCTGCATCTGCAAAAGGACTTTCATTTATTGTTTAAATAAACTGTGTACATACAAGATACATGTATGTACATGTAATGTATCCAAATTTTGATTATTTTCTAAAATGTCAAATTAGAAATACTGTTGTCCACACAATACAAATAAGTAGGTGTTTTGGATGTTTATGATACTTATCATGCTTATAGTTATTATAAATAATAAAATAATAAAATAATAAAAAAGAAACAAAAAAATATGTACATGATGTTCATATATGTACAATACATATGTACATGATGTTCATATATGTACAATACATATGTACATGATGTACTTCCAGAAGCGGATTTAGAGGGTTTTTTTAGGTGCCCGGGCCCCCCCTTTTGTGGGAAAAATTTGGTTGATTATATAGGGAATCACTGAAGCATGACTGGAGTGGGCCCCCTCTTAGGCAGTCAGTGGGCCCACCCTTATGAAAATTTCTGGATCCGCCACTGACTTCATGTAGAGCATGAGATGTATATATGTAGGCAGAAAGTCAAACTACAAACGTACTTAGAAAGTAATGACATTTTATTGTAGTGACAAAGTAGCCAAATAAAAACTTTAATCTTTTGGTGTTTAAAGTCACAAACTTGGAGGTTTAAATATGAGAGTAATATCAACTGTCACGATTCAATTTGTTCACATTTTAGATATATTGAAACAAGATTTTAATTAAAGATACTAAATCACCTGAAGGAAATCACATATTTGTCCTTACTGGGAGAATTCAACAACCTTGTTTAATTATATTCATTTTATGTTTTCTATACAACATACATAAACATGTGCATAGTCTGGTTTTATTTTTTAAGTAGTTAATTGTACTTTATTAACTAATTTTTCAATTGATCTTTTATAAAATTATACACATGTACATCTAGTACATTTGGGAGTAGAAGTGAACATTTGCAATGAAATTTATTTAGACATGTTGTAGGAGTTTAAACTGTTGTAACTTTGATATAATTATCAATTTACATAACAGTTAGATATTTCCAATAAGTCTCAATCATTTTCCAAAGCTCTCATGCAATATAGTAGGACATTGTAGGAGGGAAGGGGATTTTTCTTCAAAATCAGCAGTTTTAGCATGTAAATGATATTTTTATACGACCGCAAAAAATTTGTGTTTGTATATTGCTATCATGTCGTCGTCGTTTGAAGACATTTGGTTTGCGGACAATACCTATAGTATTTATAAGTGAATGGATCTCTATGAAATTTAACCACAAGGTTCAATAGCACAATTTGGGGTTATGGTCCCAACTGTTTAGGAATTAGGGGTCAAAAAGGGGCCAAAAAAGGCATTTTTCTAGTTTCCAGACAATAACTTGTGTACAAGTGTATGGATCTCTTTGAAATTGTACCACAAGGTTCCATACCACGAAGGGAAAGTTGGGGTCGATTTTGTGGGTTATGGCTTTAATTGTTAAGAAACTAGAGGCCAAATAGGGGCCAAAAACAAGACTTTTCTAATACTGGCTAAGCTGGTTCTAACAAATTATTTCTGATCTATATAAAGAAACAACAAATACTGATATGGCAGGAGATACACACCAAACAGGGTGTGTAAATTATTATATTTAGTTTGTAAACAGATTTACTAAGTATTGCGCAACAGCAAGAAATCTTCAATTGAAGATAAATACAAATCTTTTAACCAATTTCAATGAGGATTAATTTAAAGTCTTGAATTGTTTGAGGTTTTTACTATGTATTACTATATTTAGACATTTTTAAATAGGTCTACATTGAGGTCCAAAGGGTCCAAAATTAGACTTTGTTTGATTTCATCAAAAACTGAATTCTTGTGGTTCTATGATATGCTGAATTTAACTGCATTCAGATTTTTAATTTTGGGGCCTTTTTTCAAATAAGTCTATATTAAGGTCCAAAGGGTCAAAAATTAAACTTTGTTTGGATTCATGTTTTTTTTTTATTCTGAATCTAACCATGGAATTAGATTTTGGATATTGGACCATTAAGTAGATTAAATGTCCCATTTCAAATTTTTAAGTTATCATACCCCATTTATTCTGTGTCAGAAATCTATAATGTGTCAAATATTTAATCACTATCCAAGTTCAGAGCTGTATCAAGCTTGAACATTGTGTCCATACTTGCCCCAACTGTTCAGAGTTCGACCTCTGCGGTCGTATCCAGCTGCTCCAGGCAGAGCACATTTTTGGTTATTAGTGTTGTTGGGTTACTGCCTCGTTAATGTATACCCAATGTCTTCTTGTCTATATAGGCTGTGTCAGATAGAAATCGACCTTTATTAATGCAAGTGCGCATATTAATTAAATGCATTAAATTGTGTTGATTTTGGAACATTCAAATATGAAATAAAAGATGAATTTTGGTCTGTATTGTAGGGTTCTTATTTTTTAACAACTCAATTTTCAAACAGTTGCAGACCTTCCACAAAGATTTTTTCAACCAGTGAAATAGGTTAACAGATGTATTGATATTCATTTGCATAAGTTGGATTTTTATCCGGCGCAGCTCAAATATTAGTTTTGTGTGGAAAGACATTTTAATTTTTTTATATAATGATATTCAGAAGTTAACATTTATCATACAGAAAGATTATTGTATATATATCCATGATATCAGAAAAAGATGATGATAACTTTTTATGGGCCAAACCAAAGTTGTTAAAATTGATATTTGCTAGTTACATGTATTCCTATACTATCCTTATCATACAGAATTTAGTAGTATGTGGAAATACCTGTCACCACGATCAGAGTAAGAATAATGTGAATGAGAAGGATGATTGAGATAGTTTTCCTTAGTCTTGAGATTGCTCTGACATCTGACAGCCTTTGAAGGTCTTGTTAGGGCCACAATAAGTCCAAAAAAGGCTGTCAGACCTTAGATCAATTTCAGACTAGAATTTCTACTGACTGTTGTCTTTTGAAGGTGTATGTTAAAAGTCCTCAGTTTTGATCTTGTTGGTACTAAGCAGGGTATGGCATTAACATGTCTTAAAATATATTTGTAATATTTGCCGATGGATGTATAGCAGCTATCATCCAATCAATCAGTCATTTTAAGGAGGGATATGATTTTCTGCAATCATGGTCATTTTTATACTTTTAAAAATGGTTTTAAATTAAGGAAGCTGCTGTGGAAGTTTCATTTTTGAAACTGTATGTAGAGCACACATGTAGTGCATGTACTTTTACATTTAGTTTGTACTTGGTGAATTTCAAATAGCCTTTAACAATTGAAAGATACTCTGAACATCACACCACATTTAAAAATCACATTGAAAGTAATTATTTAGCATGGTTGGTTATATTGTTCTTTTCATACTTTTGGTTATTCATTCCCATGGTCAGTGATGATCTTTTTGAAAGAGTTTCTATTGTCAGCATTAACATGACTAATGTCCATTGCTTAAATGAGTTTTTGAAGATTTTTTGAATATAGTGTTTAAGTAAAGATTATGATTATTTTATTAAGTGTCTAAATGTTTATTACATAGTTGGTCTTTACTTCTTAGTTAAATTGATAAGACTAATGCCCAACGTACAGTGAAGTAGTGGCTGGATTCGATAATCTGTCAAAACCCACTCTGGAAGTAGTTATCTCTTTACATTCTTGTCCTCAGGATTAAATTTAAACTTGACACCATGATGAAGTAAAGTGGTCTGAAGCATTAAACATAAACAATCACTCTTCCAGATACCATGACCATGCATCTTCTTATTTTTAGATGATAACTTGATATTTCCTTGGAAAATGTATAAATACTGATAAAGATATTCAAATCTTTTAATCATGATGAAAACTTGTTAGTGCTCTGATTTATTTGGTCTGTTACATGTACATATATGATATGTTTAAAACCATTTAACAGAATGATTGATGAATGAAAAAATGTTAAATCTTTAATTTTATTTTTGACCCTTTTTGTCTCACCTTGATATACAGTTGTATGAGTATTGGCACATCTCATTTCCATATGGAGATTGTTTAGCTTTGTACCTTCAGTCATGGTTCATTGACTTTGAATATTTGCATAACTTACATATTAAAGTATTGCTATTTTAATTTCAACATTTGCATTATCAAAATAACAAAAAGGGCGAGACATATCTCTGTGTTAACAGTTTATTATATCTTACAGGTTATGCTGATAGGAGATAGTGGAGTAGGTAAAACTTGTCTCCTAGTACGCTTCAAAGATGGTGCTTTTTTATCTGGAAGCTTTATTTCTACAGTTGGTATTGATTTCAGGGTAGGTAGTAACATACAAACAGTCTTTTGGACTGGAAAAGGTAAGTGGAACTGGCCTGAATGTGCATACTAAAAAGTACAATATATTTGACTCTCGATATGTCGAAATGTTATATGACATATACATGTACATGATATATATATATTTTTACTAAAATATTTTCATATGATTTATGGTAAAATATTTTATGATATTCAATCAGAAAAAATGGTCAAAATGCAATCCACTTGTCAGTGATTTTAGTGATGAGAGATTCACTAAATAATCTATAAGTTCAATGTGTACTGCATAAAAGCACTACTGAATTGTGTGTCTGTTAAATAATTGTGTATACTAATATAATTAAGGGCCCTGCCAGCTAGTCATTAAAATAAAGGTAGATATATGATCATGAAAGCACCAAGTTAATCATATGTAAGTTATCCCCCTTTAATTGTTCAAGGGAGGTAACTTATTGAAATTGTAGTACAATTTAGAAAATTGCAAATCAAGTAGTTATTATAAGAGCTAGTACATGAGAAATTTTTACCTGTGGTGTTGGTTTGTCTGTATACACACAATGTGTATATTAAAAATTGAGAAATAATTATAGTTCTGCACATCTGTTTGATTTAAAATCTTGAAATGTGACTACTTTTTTTCAGAACAAAGTTGTTGATGTAGAAGGAACAAAAGTAAAGTTACAGGTAACTAATTATTATGTCAATAAAAGTAAGATTGTTTAAAATTGTGATTTTGTTCGGCAATATTAACTAATTTTACAATATCAGTATCCTCCATGTCCTTTTACTATACTCAGTAACTATATACTGACCATGAGTGCCAATAGAAAAGCAAAACATCATATCCCAAGGCCCCTTTTATCCCTTTTTGTCGAGCGTGCGACATTTGTCACAAAAGCAAGACATAGCGATCCTACATTCCGTCATCGGCGGCTGCGGCTTCCACAAATATTCACTCTGTGAAAGTTTTTGAAATTTTAATAACTTTCTTAAACTATCCTGGATTTCTACCAAACTTGGACAGAAGCTTGTTTATGATCATAAGATAGTATCTAGAAGGAAATTTTGTAAAAATTTATTACCTGTTTTTCCGTATATTACTTACATATGGACAAAAGTTTTTAAAACATTTATTAAGATTCATAAACCATCCTGGATTGTTACCAAACTTGAACAGAAGCTTCTTACAATCAAAAGATAGTATCTAGAGGAAAATTTTTAATAATTTTTTCCCCATTTTTATTGAGCCTGCGACTAACAGCAAAAGTAGGCGATACACTGGGTGCTGCAGAACCCTTACAAATTTTTAAATGACAATATACAATGTATAATAAATTTTGTTCTTTCAATGCATTCTACTAACATTTTTCTAAATATATATACATTTACTTTAGAAATTTGGTCTTGCATCAACCTTTTTACCTGGGTTGCCAATGGCAAAAGCAGGACTAGTTATTGCTAGACTTTGTCAGTCTTCTGTCTGTCTGTCAGTTTGAAAAACCTTTATCAATTGAATTGTTTCATATTTTTCATGTCGAGGCCTTTTATAGCTGACTATTTGGTATGTGTTTTTCTCATTGCTGAAGGCCGTACGGTTGCCTATAATTGCTTACATCCACTTTATTTTGACTTTGGTGGATAGTTGTTTCATTGGCAATCATACCACATCTTATTTTTATTTTGGTGGAAAGTTTTCATCAAACTTTTCTTGGCTTCTACATGTATGTACGGGGATCATTTTATATTTGGTCAATAGCTAGATAATGTTGAGCTGTAGCATGTAAGCAATTTTTACGTCTGCCCTGCAGCCACTTCCTGTTTACTGATAATTTTACAACACTCATGGTACAAGCAAAATTTTCATCAATCCTTTCTTGGTTTCAATAAAGGGCAATAATCATGATAATCTGTTATTCTTCAGTATACCAGTACTTGTAACCTCAATCAATTGCATGCAACGACTCAGTTCAAGACCCAGTTTTGTCTTGTTCAATTAGTTTTTGTTTACAATTTAGACAGTCAGTTATTCAATGGGATGATTATTTTTGTTGAATACAAGGGAGTGTATAATGGATGGTCACTGTGTATCAGCTTATTCTTCTGTCTAAAATAAATTAATTTCCACATCTCTTAAATCAACTGTTTCTTTCTGAAACTTAAAGAAAATCTCAGGTACTGAACATGTTTTTCTGAATGGGTATTGTCCCTTTATTTTTACCTCATCATGTTGAAATTGTTAGTCTACTCCTTGTAGGAGTTATTGCCCTTTAATAGTGATTTTGATCATTTGTTATGCTTTTACCAATTATTATGAGAAACTTTAAAAAGTAAAAAGAATCAGCAAGACAAGATCCACAAATAGGTCAGCATAGATGAAATTGTCAGTTGTCGTCTTAGGAGTTAGTGCTTTTAAATGATGATTTTCATATTTTTTTTTGTGTTTTGAGCTAAAACTAAAGAAGATGGAGAAAAACTGTGAACAGAAAAAAATGATCAGCAAAACTAGATTAAGGAAAAAAGAGATTTTAGTCATATGAATTATATTCTAGTCTACAATGTTAGAGAGTGCCCATTTTTGAAGATGTGAGCAAAACAAGCTCATTAGAGCCTCTTGTTTTTATTCCAAAATAATTTGAAGGGGATCCAATAACAATATGTAGATGGTATATTTATATTATAGGAAGGGACACAGTACTAGTGAGCATTATTAGATATGTTCACAGTTGTTCAAATTAAAATTTAAAATGACAATTAAAAAAATATTTTTGAAACTTGAACAATAAAAGCTTATGAAGTTTTAGTAAAAAACATGGGATTCAATTTAAAATGTTAAAGTACATGAAATGAAAACTGAAATCAATATTTTGGTTGCTAGGAGATAAAATGAGTTGATACATATTTACTGTTTTAAAATAGAAAACAATGAAATCAAAATATTTATTATGCATTTTATAACTATGTTCACTTAAGCTTTAGATACTAGATAACTAAAGTTTCTCATCAGTTTTAATTGCCATTTCATGTATATGGGTATAGAAGCTTATCAAGTTTACAGGAAAAAATAGTTTAAGAAATCTTTATCAAATACAGTGCACTTTTTATTTAACATTTTGTCTTGATAGTTACTCAGCAATGAGCATAACAGGCAATACATTTCCATGATTACAGAAAGGTGGCATTTGCTGTTCATACCCCCACCCCCTTAAAAAAAAGAAAAAAAAAAAGATTTTCCAGTCCTGAAAATTGCAATGGTCAGCTGGTAACATTTAATCAAAGTACTGAAGTACTGAACATCGGATGACCGCAAGTTCTTGTGGATGGTCACAAGCACTTGTCTCAGAAAAAAAAATCACATCTCTATACCTGAAAGTTAGGTTAATGTACAGAGATATATTTTTTTCTGAGACAAGTTCGTGCTTGGATAATGAATAAACGACAGGGAATTCAACGTCACCGTAATAACTATTATATTGTAATGATACAAATCAGTATACTCTGGTTTGTTGTTATATATTATATTAATGTTTGTATATAACAGTTACATGTATAAAATATAATTTTCATCCATTTGTATATCATTCTTTTTTACTATTCTAATAATAGTGCAGTGCAAGTGCATGGTGGACACTCTTCTGTAATAATATGATTTTTCTAATAGATTGGATTTGAGCAGGCATTCATATTTTCCCGCAAAACAGTCTTGAGATATTCTTCCGCATGCGTTAACACAATTTTTCTGTACATGTGCATAGATATTATCAATGATTTTTTACTTAATATATATATATTTCTAACGACAAAACATTTTCATATTATTAATTTATGTTCTAAACAAAAATATTTTATGAGTATTCATTTAAGAAATGAATTTATAACAAGCGATAAGGAATGTTATTTTGCACTCGATAATGTCCACGTATTTATAGATCGGTTACCAGTCAAACACGAAAGTTACTTATATATAGAAATCTCGTCTGCAACAATACATCGGAATGCCCTCACGGTCATCGCGATGTAAAAATAATTTCTTGAAAAATGACTTTAAAGTGAAATTTGAAATTTAATCAGAATCATTTTCGGGGTTTCCTTCATCAAAGCATGGACTTTCCCATCGCTTTATTTTGGACTCCCCCTTTTGTTTGTAAACTCCTTTTAAACCACTGATTACAATTTTAACCATATAATGCTTATCATGCTTATACAGGTGCCATTTTGCACTTACTATTTCAGTTTTTGGTCTGAATTATTTTGGGGTTTCCAATAGAAAATCATGGACTTTGCAAGGGGTCAGGGGTAGCATAGTACCGTTAGTTTTGTATTTGTTTTTGAAATCCTATTTCATCCTGTAAATCTTACATAATGTACAGAAACTGGCTGAATGTAACAAATGTTTAACATCTGAATGGGTTGTGAAAGGTGACTGAACTACGATGTTGTGTAGAGATAACAAAAAAAAGAAAAAAAGCCAGTGATCAAAACATGTTAGTAATGCTTTTATACTCAGTAAGATAATTAATGCTAACTCTGTAGTTTTGAATTTTTCTGTGTTGTGTTTTGTTGGTGACTTGTTTACATTTTCATCTTTTAAGCTCACCTGGCCCAAAGGCTTTTTATCAGAAATATGCTTATTGTATTCTTACTACCAGTTTTATGAAAAAATGCCAAGTAAGCATAACAGGCTCCTTGTAACAATGGTGTTCATTGTCCTTCTGTGACTAACAAAGGTCTTCCTTGTCCTTCTGTGACTAACAAAGGTCTTCCTTGTCCTTCTGTGACAAACAATGGTCTTCCTTGTCCTTCTTCGACTAATGTTTTATGACTAACAAAGGTCTTTCTTGTCCTTCTTGGACTAATGTTTTGTGACTAATAAAGGTCTTCTTTGTCCTTCTGTGACTAATGTTTTGTGACTAACAATGGTCTTGCTTGTCCTTCTTCAACTAATGTTTTGTGACTAACAATGGTCTTGCTTGTCCTTCTTCAACTAATGTTTTGTGACTAACAAAGGTCTTCCTTGTCCTTCTTGGACTAATGTTTTGTGACTAACAAAGGTCTTCCTTGTCCTTCTTCGACTAATGTTTTATGACTAACAAAGGTCTTTCTTGTCCTTCTTGGACTAATGTTTTGTGACTAATAAAGGTCTTCTTTGTCCTTCTGTGACTAATGTTTTGTGACTAATAAAGGTCTTCTTTGTCCTTCTGTGACTAATGTTTTGTGACTAACAAAGGTCTTGCTTGTACTTCTTCAACTAATATTTTGTGACTAACAAAGGTCTTCCTTGTCCTTCTTGGACTAATGTTTTGTGACTAACAAAGGTCTTCCTTGTCCTTCTTGGACTAATGTTTTGTGACTAACAAAGATCTTCCTTGTCCTTCTTGGACTAATGTTTTGTGACTAACATAGATCTTCCTTGTCCCTCTTCGACTAATGTTTTGTGACTGACAACGGTCTTCCTTGTCCTTCTTCGACTAATGCATTGTGACTGCTCCTTTATCATTTTGTATTTTTATGCCCCCGCCGTAGTGGAGGGGGCATTAGGTTTTACCCTTGTCCTTCCTTCCCTACGTACGTATGTATGTACATCCCAAAATTGGTTTCTGTTCTCTAACTTTAGTTTGCCTCAACCAAATGTTATGAAACTTATAAAAAATGCTTATTACCACAAAATACAGATCAAGTTTGAATTTTGGTGGTGTCACTTTAACGGTTCTAGAGATGTGCCTGTTTACAAATGGAAAAAATGCTGAATTTTTCGTTTCTGTTCTCTAGCTTAATAAGTTAGCCTCAACGAAATGTTATGAAACTTATACACAATGCTTATTACCACAAAACACAGATCAAGTTTAAATTTGGGAAGTGTCACTTTTATTGTTCTAGAGTTATGCCCCTTTACAAACGAAAAAATTGCTGAATTTTTCGTTTCTGTTCTCTGACTTAAGTTTGCCTCAACCAAATGTTATAAATTTTATACACAATACTTATTACCACAAAACTCAGATCAAGTACAAATTTGGGTAGTGTCACTTTTACCGTTCTTCAGTTATGTCCCCTTATAACTTTATATGATATGCAAGCAGGGGCATTATCTGTGTCCCATGGACACATTCCCCATTTATTTCATATTAATTACTGTACAGACATGACAGAATTTGCGCATTCACCTTGTATCTTTCAGGATACATCCACCCTGTGCATTGTGTATCTGTGAAAGAGTTAATTAAGGTGAAAAAATGTCAGTAGTCAATTTTTTTGCAGTATTTCTAATTTTCACTTGTGAATTTTTTACATTTTTTCGTTAATACTTTTTATCTATTAGTTTGATATATATAAGTTATCTTAAGTATATACTGATCAAATTAAGTTCTGTTCCCTTAGAGTAATTTTTGTGACTCTTGGAAATAGAAGATTGCTTGGAAATCTCAGTTTTCCATATTTTTTTGTAAAAATATATCTATTGGTTTGTTATTTTGTAAAAAGTCATATCATAAAAAATACTGATCAAAGAAACAGTTCAAATTTCCATTCTAGTTAACCAACTGTTTGTAATATTTGGGCTGCCAAGAGGGGCATTTAGGTTACACAGACACATCTAGTTTGTTATATTTTGATAGCATTTTGTATCATTAAACAGTATCTCTTAAGAATTCATATTTATTACAAGAGTTGAGATAATGGAGGTGCTTTTGATTACAGCATCAATTTCTTTGCTTTGTAGGCTTGGAATACCCCTGGTGATAATAAATTATTTTAGTCTAATCTTTTTCTCAGACAATGTATCATCTTAATTGTCTGGGAAATGGTCATCTTAACCATGTCATAAGTCAGCTTAATTGTCCAGAGATGACCACACGTGGGTCTTCATTGCTATTTTATCTGTTGGGGAAACCAGCTGTATCATTTTCTGATTTATTTTTGATAGAATTACTCTCAAGGGAATTTTTTTTGTTTTACGATTATATATATATGGAAAATCACAATGGTAATGATTTTAATTAACTTGAATATCTCATTTTTTTCTTTTTCATTATTTATTGAAATCATTAGTTTTTTCTGATACAAATGTATTTAAATGTTAGTAATACTGAATTATTTGATTTTAAGCCTAAATTATTTGTCTGAAAATATGTTAAGGCTTTAGCAAGTATTTCCAGAAGTTTTCATTATTGTTATCAAACAATATTTATTTTATAAAATCTTCAACTTTAAAATGTTAAGTTGTAATGCAAAAAAAAAAAAGAAAAGAAAAGCAAAAAAAAAAATTGTTTGTATAATTATTGGAAAAATATCCTACAGATTAAATTTAGTGGTTTCCGTGGCCTCAACATCAGTGATCTTGTGTAGGATACCATATACTGAAAAACAGAATTACTAAAAAAATGTGTACATTTGTCATGCATGCAACAAATTTTTCACTCCCTTTCCCATTCAGTCAGAAGCACATTGTATTATAGCCATTTTGATATGGGTGAGCAGGTTTTAACACAAACAAATATTTGTCATTCTGCATACCAACTGCACAAATTCTCTTCCAGATCTGGGATACTGCCGGGCAAGAGAGATTTCGTAGTATAACCCGAGCATATTACCGTGATGCAAATGGTATGTAACCATGACAACGATATTTAATGTTTGATTAGAGTGTGTTGTCTCTATATAGCTATAATCTTAGATTTATCAAAATATTTATATTTTCAGCTAAAAAGTGAAGATATTTTGAATGGAAAGCTTCACATCTTCAGACATTTGTTTCCATAGTAACCATAATCATGACCTTGACTTTGTTATTTACAGATTTGGGACACAGCAGGTCAAGAAAGATTTAGGAGTGTTACACATGCCTATTACAGAGATGCTCATGGTATTTCCTTGATGTACCTCGCCTCCCCCTTTTATATGTTTTCACATTTCAGCGCTTAATTAAAGAATTTATTTGTTGTTTTACTGATGAGGAACATGATTCTTTTGCTAATTTTTCATTATACAAAAACTGGTACCAGTAATTGTTGAAGGAAATTCAGTTTTACATTTAATCTTGAGTTATATTTATCGATCAGATCAAATAATTAAAATTAGGTTAATGATAATATTAGTTCAGCATTGAAAAATCTAGCCTAGCCTGAATTTTGCCATTTTTTTATATTGGACATAAAATGAACATATTATAAATGGAATTTTATTAAAATATTGTGAAATTCAAGTTTTAGAGAAGAAAATATCATTACTTTATGGTCAGATTTAAGGTTGTACAATATTTTATTTCTTTGGACATGTTTAAGTTTCGGACAGTTCTGTTTTGAAAATGTTCCACTTATTCATATAAACTTTGATTCATTTTTGTTATAAATTTTGAAGATTTTATGGCAATAAAAATTTAAAACACAATTTAAACATGTATACATCCATCAGCATGCTGAATATATTAGATTAACCATACACTTTAAAAGTAAAATATATGTCAAAATATTATTTTCTTAATGGAATCTTCAACACTTTGTGACCACATGAAAGGATTTAAAATAGTAAATATTAAAATATATTTTGGAATAACAATGCCATTTTGTTCAAGTAAAATATAATTCAAGTAATGGTAATGTATTGAACGAATTAGTCAGTCTACATTCTTTGCTTGAATTCACGTACCTCATTAGTATTTGTTGGTGTATTTGTCTTTTATTGTCAGCCTTTTATCACTTTTTGATATTTTTTGCGTATTTATATGAGGTTAAGTACTAGTGGAACAAGAATATTATTTTGATGTTTATTTTGTATTTCCCTAGTACTTTCAAGAATGGGGAAAGGTTCAAGGTAAATTGAATTAGCACACTACTGAAATAATTTTGAAGGAAAAAAGGAAAAAAAGTTGTACACTGATTGAATTCTGGACTTGAGGGGCACTTAATAATATCACTGGGTAATATATTTTTGAGTGTTCAACTCTTACTCTTTTTTTCTCAATCTGTGAAATGCAAAAGGTTGGAAAAAAAAAACACATTTAAAATCAGTTCATAAAAGCACTTAGGTCAATACTATTAGTATTCCCAAAGGCAAAATCACATGACAAGTTCATTATAAGTTCATGTTACAAGTTAATCTATACTAAATAAAAGCAAATCAATGAATTTTGCAGTTACATGTACTCAAAACCTGCTACATAGAAATCTTACTTTCTTACACACTGTATCAGCTGTTGTACTTCCTAATAGATTTCTTACAGCAATGTAAACAAGTGTAGACAAATATGATTGTGTGCAAAGTCCTTATAAAGTTTTCATGTTGGTGGATAATAACATAACCTTTTGAATAATTCAAATTAGATTTGATGTCTGACAAAATCACGAAAATGTAAATAGATTTAAGAATTTCATTTAGATTTTGTATGTTATGGTTGATTTGGAATTTTATCATGATCATGCTGACATGAGATTTGATAGAAATTGATACTTATTTACATTTAGAAATGTTATTTCTGTAATCATTGGTAATAATCATTGGCAAAATATTTAAATTAAATTTTGTGTTTATTATTGATGCCAAATTTGTTAGTATTTCAAAATGACATATTGAAATTTAGTTTTATTTTCCAGTTTCTAATCACATAGCATATTGTTAATGTCATGAAATATTATATTCATGAACCTTAATTAAAGAAAAAATTCTTAAAAATTTTGAATGTGATTTGATTTGATATTGAAAGAAAATTCCATGAAGCTATCCCCAAATAGAATTTTAAAGAATCCTTAAGCAAAATATATCCATAAATGTTTATGTTTGAATTTCTTCATAAAAAAAGTCTTCTGTTGACAGATCCATGGCATCATGGGTAGCTTATTTACTTTGGTTACAAGGGAGACAACCAAAATATTAAGAACACAAACTTTGCATGAATTATATGTGTGTGTATTATTTACTGATTATGTAGCTGCATGATTTTTATGTAAGATATTTTTTTTTATTTGTTATCTTCTTTCCTGGAATACGATACAGTTTACTCTCTCCATAAACCCCGAATACATTTGTAATCTTCAAAAAAATAGAGGGAGTGGTATACTGAAAAAATCCTGATTCCGAAGGGTTTGAGAGCTCTGAGTTGGAGAACCAAATAATCCTCTCTTTTACTTCCGAGGATGTCTTACATAGGGTCATTTGGATCTTTCCATAGAACTTCGATCATTTAAAAGACTTGCGGTGAATGTTGTGTCCTGTCTGTTTGACGTCTTTCCAATTGATTTACATTTGTAATCTTCCTTCTAAAAACACTCAATTTTTTTTTCTCTAAAAAAACAATGCTTTAAAAACTTCCTGGTAGAACTGCTGCACATAAGAAAAAATTAAGATTGGCCTCTAGAAAAACTGATATTTGTTGGTTTTTAATACGATACTAATAAAAAAATATGGAGTATATTTCAATGAGTCAGCGACCTAATGACAAAATAACCTGAAAGACATTTAGAGATTAACGATATCGTTTGGAACTATAAAAAAGTGTCTGTTCAATTTGTCAATGTGTAAATCACCTGAGTACAGAAAGGTAGTCATATATTTAACAGAAACTTTCAAAGATTAGCCAAATTCTCTAAAGTACAAAAATCATTAAGAGATAATAAAAGGCACAATTACCATTTACCCTGAAGAGTAATATTCTTCAACAATGATATATGACAGTCAGCAGTGAATCATGGAGATATGCAATTCTTTTAATTTTTTTCACCAATTGAACATAGTTATGAATTTTATCATATTGTTTTTATCAAATAAATTTTTATATGAATATTTAAGCTTATTATTTCATTTACTTGAGGCTTATAGAGTAAATGATGGATTTTAAACTTGTGAAATTATTATGAATTGAAGATAATTTCAAGTATAAGTATTCTATATTCTAGATAACATGTATATAACATCAAAAACATGTTATAAGCTTATTCATGCATACCTTTAAATGGATTAAGATTAATCTTTTTATACTTTTGTGTGGTTAATTTGTTTTGCCTTTTGTAACTTTTATAAATTGTGATTTAGTTGTAATAATAATGTATTACCTATTTGCCTTTGAAGAATTTAGGCCTTCAAAAAGAATAAATTGTCTGCTTGAAAAATATGTTTAAATATTTATTAGCAATTTGAAAGTTTCAACCTATTCATTATTATTTAAGTACTAGAGTTTTGAAAAAAACTTAGTGAAATATTTTCAATTTTGATCTTTTAATTTATTTTATTTATAAAATTTGCAATAACAAAATATTTAAGCTATAATTACAACAAATAAAACAGATAAGAGATATCATAACTGTTTAAAGCAATGAACAGATATAAGGTGGAAAAAAATCACCATTTTTACTCCCATTTGACAATATTTGAAGGTGATATACATTGTATGCCATGTATACTCAAAGAATCATATCTCTTCAAAGACTTCCAAAGAATTTTATATGCTCCACAATTTTTTACTAATACTTGTTTTAACTTTAGGGGAAGCTTTCTTAAAGAACTGAAAATCAGTTAAAAAAATTGGCATATTATATTAGCCATGTTTGCAGTTCACTTGAAAGTGAGACACCCAATCTAAATTTGGAAAAACATTCTAGATAGTGATTTCCTTTAATTTTCCTGGTATTTAATAAAATAATCAATAACATATCTAAAATTACTGTATTAAATTGAAGCATTTACGGTTAAATCAAATCCTTCACTAACCAGACAGACAAGTTCAAGGCCAATTTGCCTAAGGGAGTTCAGTTGCAACCCTGAGGAAAGATACATGCTGCCTACATATGACAAAAGTCATGCATCATTATTGTGATTATATGACAAATAGATTGAAATGTATTGATAAATGTTTAGTATTATGATTTGTTTTAGTTTTAACCTTTAATTTACAATTGATAATTTCAGTGATAAAATGTAGTTATTATAGCAGCTTCTATATATAGAAGGGGGATATATAGAGGAAACATAGATACTATAGTTATAGAAATAGACTAATTTGAATTTTATTTGCAGAATTTTCTGTGTAAAATAAAAGCATGAAAAGGAGATGTTGGCTATAAATCATTGAGACAGTACACCAACAAGACAAACAAATTAAAAAAAACACAAAATTCATCTTCTGCATTCTGTTCATGTTTTTCCAATTTTTAATGTTGTAAAATGTGACATGGTCACTGTGATGAATACATTAAGGCCTGCAATGAAAAGTTATGATGATAGTACCTGTAAATGATCATGAATTTTTGAAATGTTTTTGTGAAAATTGGAATAGGATAGCGCTAGGTATTCCAGAAATAAAGACTTGCATTTTAAATTTTGATAGCATTATTTGAATTAGCATTTCCTGAAATTGTAATAATCAGATCTTTATTGTTCATTGTTCAATAATCAAAACAATAAATGCATGCACAGTTTACTGAATTAACAGTTTTTGGTTTTGTATTTTTCAGCATTACTGCTGTTATATGATGTTACAAATAAAGCCAGCTTTGACAATATAAGAGTGAGTATACATTGTAGTTTTTAACCTTCAATCAGGGGTAGATCAAGGAAGGGAGTAAACACATTCTTCCCTTGTTGGCATCTTTATTATCCTTCCTGAAATGAGAGTCAAATGATGTAAAACACATGTCTTACTTTTCTGGCAAAGCCATGACAGGTGGCATTTACGAGCGAATATGCCTGTTTGGTGATTATCTGCTCTATTGCCATGTTTGCCATGTTAACATATGTTAACAAAGGAGTATATGCAGATTTGGTTATCTTTTTATCTTTATCCTCTTAGTTTTGTTGACCTTATTTTATTATTCATGCTTTTTATACCAGGTGAAAGTTATCAGATATATTAGGGCTCTGTAGAAATTATTTTTCATAACAATTTTGGTTTCTAGAAACTTAGACTGTTTCAACAGTATTGGGTATGACTGGGACCATTAATCAATTTGCCAATCAGGGAGCAGCTTGTCTGTGTCAACTTTCTACTTGAATGTTTTGTACCTTCATTGTTATTTTTTGGCTTTCTGCGCTAAGAATGATTTCTGTCATCGTTTGATATGATCTTTTACAATTGACTCGAGCTCCTTTGAGCCTTCTTAAGAACCCAGATTGATGTGGGATTATGCTCACTGTCCAAGTGAAATTCAGTTGTTTTTGTATGTCTTGCCTTTGGACACATTCTGGTATACCATAGTCTGTCAATCCATCCGTCTGTCTATCAGTCCATCCGTCTGTCTATCAGTCCATCCGTCTATCAGTCCATCCTTCTGTCAATCCATCTGTCTGTCTGTCAATACTTTGTACAGAAATTCAAAATTTCTTTTACCAATTCATGATAAAATTTTACCACAACCTTAATTTTGACAGAGGAAGGCTCCCTTTTGAGTTTGAAAATTTTGGTTTTTTGTCATTTCAGAGTTATATGTCACTTTTAACTTTCCAATGTAAGGCAATTTTTTACATATCACAAACTGATAAAAAAAAAAGGAGATATGATATGATTGCCAGTGAGACAATTATCCACCAAAAGAATTCAAGTGAAGTGGATGTAAGCAATTATAGACAACCGTACGGATTTTAACAGTGAGAAAAACCTATGCCATATAGTTTGCTATAAAAGGCACCAACATGAAAAACAGGACATATCATGGACTTACTCCAGTTTCGTTTGCTTGGATTGTTTTCCTCAAAACTTAACACTATTTTTGGGATTGTTAAAAGGAAGCTTCCTTTCCATATATTGAAAATTTTCTTGTTTGTCACTTTAGAGTTATGGGACTTAAACTGTCAGATTTAAGTAAATTTTACTCATGTTGTACCATAACTTGAGAATGACTGGATAGATTTACATAATTGTTGGAATTTATGAAAGGAAGATACTGTTGATTTTAAAAATTGGGACTTTAATCGTCATATTAATAAAAGGCAATCGTTTACATGTCATGCAGTAGCTCTAGTAAGCTTGGATCAAATTACTACAAACCTACCACTGTTTGTTTGGATAAATGAATGTAGACTCCCTTTTGATTTTGAATATTTTCTGCCTAAGGATATCCTGATACAAGTTTTTCTACAGGGCCATTCAATTTCTAATAAGATGCCTTCCAAATATTCCATTTTACTCTCGCAACAAAATATGCATACCATGCACTCCTATGCACTCTTACCACAGCTGTTTATTTAATTTTATTCTTCACATTTGAAACCTTGTCTCATGTGCATCTACACCCCATTTTTTATTTACCATGTTTATATAATAAAAAAATTCCTTGATATTGTTTCATCTAAAATTTCTGGAAAAGCAATTATTGGAAACTGAAATCAAAAATAGGCAAATTAAAGTACATTTAATAGCATTTAGTGGAGGATAGGTTAAATTACTCTGAGTAGATTGTTTAGAAAATAGACATGTTTCCCTCTGATTAAAGGGTCTGTTTTTACTTCATTTGACAAATTAACAGTAAATCCAATTAGATTTTATATTGTTTTGAAAAATTGCAGATTTAGAAAGCAATATCTAAACTGTGTTCAAATTTAAATTTCTGTTTTATTAGTTTTTGAAGTACATAGTTTCAGTCTAATTTGGTGTTGCAAGAAAGTACATCAAATAATGTTTCCCCAAGACAGTTAATAATGATTTATTAGAGAGTTTGACTAGACAGTAAATCTCTTTAGATGTCACTGCACTTTGGAAGCCAGTGGTGACTGGATGAGCAGACATCTTGTTAGGTTTGTAATTCCATTTAGATATTATCCAGGAAATTTAAAACCCCAATGAAAAATTAACCTTTAAAGAGCATAATTTTCTCAAACTGGAAACTGTTAAGACTAATTAGTAGAAACAGATTTTAGAGATAAAACTCCATTTTTTTCCTCATGCATATTCAAGATTTTACAAGACTGAAATATCTGACAATTTAAATGTATATCTATGATTATTGTGAATTTTTTGTAACTAATGCATTGAACCTTTGGGTAAGTCTGCAAATTATTGTAATTCTTGAAATATCTTTAGAAAACCTGAACATGGTCAGTTAACATCAGACTTGGCAAATGTATTGTCCTAAAGTTATCTTGTTACAAAATTTAGTTCAAGGATTCAGCCTTTAACCCAGGTATCAAGCAAACTTTTATATAATTGGTAATCAAATTAAGAAAAATTAAGAAAATGCATGTAATATCATACATATATATGTATATGCTAGGTGAAGGACACAGGATCCTGTTATCATCTAGTTTAGACTTATTAGATATCAACAAAAATCAACAGTTCTTATAATTACAGTCAAATCTGTATATAAAGGTCACTGTCGGGACAAAAGAAAATTGACCTTATAAGACAGGTGACCTTTGAATTGAGGTTTAAAATTCTTAGGTATTACAAGTGCTGGACAAGAAGACAGTGGCCTTAAAAGACAGGTTTTTGCCAAATAAAGTTGACCTTTGGAGCAGGTTTGACTATATTACTGATGTTCAATCTCTAATTATTGAAAAAAGGTAAAGGTCACTTAACCCATTGACATACATGACAGTTTTTTTATCATCATTATCTTTGGTTATTTCTGGTACTATAAGCATGATAAGAGTAAATAAATTGACATAAAATGACTTATTGTAAGGTATGTCACAGGCTACTACAAAAAATAGCTAATTTTACAATTCAGTTTAAATTGTTAGTTTAATGTTACTTAGTGAACATCTACGTCATTTGGTCTCTGGTGGATAGTTTTCTCATTGCAATCAGACCACATCTCTTTATTTTATTTAACATGCAACGTTAAAAATGTGGCTCCCGATGTTGGTCTAGTACAAAACAGGGTTCATATTGATATCACGTTATCATGTTCTTTTTTTAAATATGCATTCAGTTTGCCCCTGGATGTTCAACAGTCATCTGTCATCATCTTTTTATTCATATTTGCATTTATGATATCAGATTATTTAGTTATATAACATATTTTATTCAATTTTATCATTTATCCTATATTTGAACCCTTTCAGTGCAGATTCTTCTAAGAGATAATATTCACAATTAATACAGATTATTTCATTAAGTTGCGGAAAACAAACTATGGCAGAATGCTTTTGTAATCCATACCTTATATTATATTCATGAAGTTTAAAATGTAAAAATGAAATTACAGTTCAAAAGAGAATAAAGAAACTGATTCCTGCAGCGTTTTCAATCATTTACAAAGCTGGTCTTATAAATAATTGAATGAACAATTTAGTTGAAACATTATATGAAGTGGATTATTGAAATAGCTTTCAGTTATGAAAGTCTGAGTATTTAAAAAAAGAACAGATTACAAAATTTTCCAGCTGCATCGATACAAACATTGATATTTGTATGGACAAATTATTGCATTTGATTGCAACATTACACATTTGTAATATCAATACATGTATTATAAAAAAATGATTATTGTAGCAAATATAAAGAAAAGAAAAATAAATAGAAAAAAGATAAAAGATAACAAAAAATATGTCAAATATATTGTCTTTGAAACTACACTTATAATGACTTATTTGTTAAATTGTATATCTTCAAGTTATTGTTTGTTGAGGGCATTGATATTTTTCAACATATCTTTTTGTTTGTCTCTTTTAAAACATCAACATGGTCAAATCTGCCGAGCAACCTTGGGGAGAAATGTGGCCGACCTTGCAACTTGACCTCTTATTTAAAAGGACCAATAGGTGACAGTTAAAAATGTTTAAAAATTTGTTTTGTGGATTTCCACTGCTTTCTAATTTGCTTAAAAGTGACTTGGTGACCTTAGGCAATTTATAAACAAGATATTGTGACCTAAGGGTGGTACCCTACTAGAACCCCATTTTGTTTGGCTTCTCAGAACTAATGACATTTAGATTGACCTCAAGCTAAAGATAAGACTGCACTAATACTAATGTTTGTCTATGGGTGAATAAAAAAAGGAGATGAGGTATGATTGCCAATGAGACAACTATCCACCAAAGTTCAAATGAAGTGGATTTAAGCAATTAGAGGCAACCGTACGGCCTTCAACAATGAGAAAAACCCGTACCTTATAGTCGGCTATAAAAGACCCCGACATGAAAAATTATGAAACAATTCAATTGAGAAAATTAACAACCGAATTTATAACAAAATCTTCACTGTTTATGTTGTAGACAGGCACATTGACCACCAACTGACCAACTCCTTATCTTTTGAAAAAACCAAGTAATGTAGAACACACTGCTAGGATAGCTTGACTTGGTACAAGCACAGAATGTGGTCAAGTTTTACGTGTGAAACAATACATTAATACAATTACCTCACATATTAAAAAAAAAAAGACCATCAAGACATGAAATGATTCAAGTTGCTTTACCAATCAAAATCTGAATTTTTGAAATCTTCATAAAGGAGATTAAGCTGATTATGTTAGGAATATCAAACACATAAATGTATTTTAAATTATTTTGACTTGGTTAGAAAAGTGGAATAGTACTATAAAAGGAGATAAAAGTTGTTATGGTCTTTTTAGAATTTAATTTGCATTTTGAATGTATATTCTTATAACCGTATTCCAGCTGGATGCACTCACACTGGTAAAAAATATTGCTTTTGAGGTCAATGGCCACATTTTTGTCAGTTCAATTTTATTTATCGTTTTTAAACTCTATTAGTCTTCTAAATGACAGAGTAAAAATGTCTGTAAACAACTTGTTATGGCATTTAAAACACTGCAGTATGCGATATTTATTGCAGAAAAATTCATTAACTCATGAATGCATGAAGAATTACAATTATCACTCCCTGCTTAATTTATCTAATTGTTATAAAAGTCGTTTCAGTTAATTGAAAACTGTCATACTTTTCAAGTAGCTTGAATTAAGTGGTTAAGATTAAAATGTTCAAGGGACATGATCACATTGTTTCCACTCTGTGACATCGGAAGGTCGGTGCATGAATCTGTGGGTAATGACATTTATGGGTTTGTTTGATTTTATGGCAATACAGTTTTAATGTTACTGTGATATATATCATAGCTAGTGCACTGTTGTTAGTTTCCAGGCCTGATATACGTACATTGTGGGAAGACTCCGAAGTAGAATAAACTATGCAGTGTCTCCTGTTATTGTCTGGAATAACTTCTTTTATTGGCTTTATTAAATATAGAACAAGGGAATTACCATTTTTATTGATGTATCTTGTTCAAAACTAAAGACTAGTTTGCCTACAAGTTAAACTACCATCCATTAAAAAGATATGCTATTTTGTCAATTTTTTGACAGTTACCATACTTTAAAACCTACTAACAAATAAAACTGCATGGCATGAACTATTTAACTTTGATGCTTAAATGTGTCTGTCTTAAATCAAACATCTTGTTAGCTGTTTCCTCATTACTTCAGGTTTTGTTCTTTTAGGGAAAAAGTGTATATTTGGCTGTTCACTTCAATGTTGAATTCCGTAGATGAATTGTCTCAGTATGGAACAACTTGTCATTAATAATTGTACATTGTTAAAGGTTGCATTATGTAACTTGAAAATGTCTATGATTAAAAGGAGATGCTGGGTTTGATTCAGTATAATAGTAATCAAACAACAGAAAAAAAAGACATCTAAAGGTCAACATACAGTTTTAATTCAGCATATATTGTATCTGTGCAAATTGTTAAGTTCTTAATCTGCCAAAGTCGGGCAAAGTTGTAAATAAGATTTAAGTTGTGTAGGCTCATGTTGTTTGTTTCTGTCTTAAGAATGTTTATGCTGCATATTGTTTCATTCAAAATTAAATATGTTTTATTGAGAGATTTCTAATGAGATTAGGAATTAAATATTATTTAGACATCTCTCATCCTAGAGAAGATGAAATTTCTATACAGGTTTTAGATTGATAAAAACAACCCACAACGGCTTTAAAGCATGTTTACATCTCATTAAAGTTTCATTGCATATTTGCAAATAAGATTAACTGATTTCTATTGCTACTCAAACAGACTAATATAATTATTAGTTGTTTAAAATAATCAGAATAAATGCTTTTTACAACAACAAAAATTGTAAATTCAATAAGTTGGAAAAAGAATTGTTGTGGTTTTGATTTCTGTATTAGAATGAGAAGCATGAACCAAATGAAATTCTAAATGAAATATTCTCTATATGCTGTGTATATTGTATAAAAACAACTTGAACATTTTAATAGAAGGCCAAATGTACCTTTATGCTGTATTTAACATTTGCAAAGTGAACTATCCCTTTGGATAAGTACAATAGCTATTGTGTTCTGTGGAGTTGAAAAACCGATCTTTCATTTGGGAAAGTTTTAATTTCCTTTGCAATAAGAACAAAATAAACTTGAATCTTATCTTGATGATATAGCGATTACCTAAGAGTATGACCTAGATATATTTATCTCAAGTTAGATTGTAATTTTGTTTTTTAGATAACTTTAAATAAAATTATGTAAAATTACTCAATATACTACAAAGAAATCAAATGGCAGTTTCAGTGAGAAACAATCATAAACAAAACAGAGGATTCCATAAACTACTTTATTGTAATTTGAATGAAAGAAAATAAATGAACATAAAAAAATTTTTGTACATTGGCTCATTATGATACCCTTTTGTTTCAGGCATGGCTTGGAGAAATAAATGAATATGCTCAGGAAGATGTAGTTATAATGTTACTAGGGAATAAAGCTGATATGGCCGGAGAACGAATGATTAGAACTGAAGATGGAGAAAAATTAGCGAAGGTAGTATTTGTTGAAAAAGATCTCTAAGATTGCATTATATTTTCTAAGTATTCACATGGTACAAGATGTTTTCAGCAGTAATTACATCAATATTTATAATAAACACACTGCATGAAATAGTTTGAACATATTGGCAGATGTTTGACAAAAGAGGTTTGCAATTTACCTCTTTTTGTGCATAAATTGTGTTTATATATATATATTTGGCAATTTTTGTATTTATTGTATCTCTAGAAGTATAAATGCAACATATCACATATTTAATATCCAGATGCTGCATTAAACAAGTTCTAAATGCCTACAAATATCATAAAATATCAAATACCAACCAATTATGTCTACTTGGCTTAAAATCACCACAGTAATTTACAAATGCTATTACAAATATTTAATTATAGATATTACACATACATACAGGATCAATACATTGCCCAACAGGCTGTATTTGAATAGCAGCAAATTTGCTTAAAATGTATGAAAAGGCAACTCAAATGAAATGTTATACAATCATCACTTGTGTACCCCTTTAAGTCACAAGGTCGCTTTTAAAAATTGTTTTGGGTCACTAGGTCACTTTTAAGCAAACTAGATTGTTTTAAACTGATCTGATTCTTGATTTTGAACAGTTTTTAAGGTGACTTTTAAATTAGACTTTAGCTTGAAAGGTTGCCAACTTAATCACCCAAGGTTGTAGGTCTGATTCGACCATGGTTGAGCCACATATGTGGACATTTATTTTCAAACATACCTTCAAGTTGAATTCATTTGTTATTCATTTTGTTGTGTAGTTTTTGACATATGGTTAAAGGGAAATAACTCAATCTGTTTTTATCTTTCAGGAATATAATGTAGCATTTATGGAAACTAGTGCTAAGACTGGAATGAATGTAGATCTGGCTTTTATGGCTGTTGCCAAGTAAGTTAAATAGCTGAATAAATGGTATTTATTATTATTTTTGTGGTTCCATGTAAGGTTGAATGTTGAGAATATTATGGATTAAACAAATTGTTTTTCCATATAAGTGTGTGAGTGCATCGATCCAGTTTACACATCAATAACAAAATATTATGCTGCAATGTTTTCATAATTTGTATGAAAAGCCACCTCAAATTGATACGGAAAAGACATGCAAGGGAAAATGTAAATGAAATGTTATACAATCATGCATCAATGGTTTTCAGTTCAGGAAATAACATTTTTAATGTTAAATTTGATACACTTCTACAGTATCATTCCAATGTTCATACCCATCATCCCAGTGACCCCCAATTGCAGGACCTACCTATTGTGTTTACTGTTAAATTGTTCTTCTTGTCATGAACATGCATAATATATTTGCCACTGGATGTTAAGCAACCAAAAAAGAAATCAATCAATCATTTATGAATTTGATTGATTCTGTCATGTATTTTGATGGAATAAGTTAGCAGTTACAATAACTGGTATGTGGATGAAAAGTTTTTGAAGAAATCATTATAAAAATTTTCAGGGTCAACACATAAAATTTTAGTCAATCGGGGAAACCCTTAACTCATACCTTTTTTTTATGGCCTAAGCTGCTACTTCGTAATGTATACTCCATAATTCCTTTTATTTTCAGGTGATATTAGCTATTTAAGTTTTGTTGTTGCTTTCTTTCAGAGATCTGAAAATGAAAAAGACAAGAAAACCTGCCGACCCAAAATTTAATGTTGCTGAATATGTTTTACAAGAGAGAAAATCGGGAGGATGTTGTGGAAGTTAACCATTAGATTTAAATCAATTAGATTGACCTTGACTGCTAATTAATGCTCATGATACTGTTTTTATTCATTGGTGCATAAAGGCATTAATATAGATTGTTTAAAATATTTATTTTTATAATAATTGCAGGGTATTTTAAAATGCCTGATATTGTCATTTCATTACAAAATGAAGGCTGAACATTTTTTGTGGAATTAGAAACAGATCTTAATTAAGGATGCTTGCTACTCTGTTTCAAAATAACAAGCTTTTTAAAAGACTGTTATAAATGGAAAGTATATAAACAAAGGAAATAAAAAAGCAGAAAAAAATGAAGGGTCCGTGACTTTGTTTTTGAGATATAAGCCATTGAAAAATTGACGGGAAATGGTTCTCTCTAGATTTTTCATACATTTAACATTGGCACCTTTTTTCTTTCAAAAACTATGAATAAGTAACAAGTATTTTATAAGATTTTCATATATGGCTTTTTAAAGTAAATATAATAAAATTATGGAAAGAAAAGAAGGGGTTAGTGGGCAATATATTTATTAGCACTTAATGCATAAAACCAGTGGATCTCGATATCTGACAAAAATTCAAAAACTAGAGGAGCAATCATCCTTAATGCTACTTCATTGTTATGATGAAAATTAGTTGTTTATTTAATATTTAACTAGATAATAGGGATAACGTGGACCCTTTTGTGATACATTTCAAAGCATGTCTAGTACATGTACTACTTCTCCTTGGAAAATAATATTTTTTGGGCAAAACTTTGAATAAACATTGATTTAAATTTGTTATGGAAGAGGATGCAGTCGAACTATGTATGGTCCTGAAGTAGTACAACAAGGCTTAATTTGTAAAATATACAATTCTCAATTTTAAGGTTTAAAATACAAGTGTGCTGAAAGTGGCGCTAAACACCAAGAATTATTCAATCTTATTTTGAAATTTTATGATAATAAAGAAAAGATTGAGAATTTGTTTTTGAATTCTGAACAGATATAAGATCTGTTCAACCATAACTTGTGGAATTTGGTTATATTTGCTAGCAATATTAGAAGATTAATACATGTGATCAAAGATTTGTGAAAAATGTATATGCTAACGATAGAAACACATAGGTAAACAAATAATGATTTGTTCTTCTGTAAAGTGTATCGATACATATTTAGACATTATTGAAATAACGTCTATTTTTATGTTTTATAACATGTTTAAAGAAATGTTTTAAGAAAAACAAAAGACTTTCTGGTTTTGTATGGTTGATTTTTCCCCCTGAATTATTCCAAATGTCTGAAAATGGCTGATACTTATATATAAAAATCAATCTTAATCTATTTTTGACCGGATTGAGGAAGTAAAAATCGGTTATTGATTTGGGGATGTACAGTTGGTGGGCGGGTGGTTGCTGCTGCCAAATAGTTTCCGTGCATTTACTCATGAACAGTTTAACCAAAGCTTTTCAAATTATAATATGTTGTTACTGATGACAAAATGGAGGTCAAGTTCAATATGGGCGATTTCCACTTTCACCGTTCAGGAGTTATGGTTCTTGAAAGATTGAAAAATGGTGTTTCTAGTCGTGCCCGTGCTGTAACTCATGAACCGTTTAACCAAAGCTTTTCAAATTTTAATATGTTGTTACTGATGACAAAATGGAGGTCAAGTTCAATATTGAGGATTTTCACTTTCACCTTTCAGGAGTTTGGGTTCTTAAGATTGAAAAATGGTGTTTCCAGTCGTGTCTGTGTTTTAACTCATGAACCGTTTAACCAAAGCTTTTCAAATTTCAATATGTTGTTACTGATAACTAAATGGAGGTCAAGTTCAATATTGATGATTGTCACTTTTACCGTTCAGGAGATATGGTCCTTGTGATATTGAAAAATGACAGGACACAAATAAATGTTTAAAAAATCTTGTTTGCTGTCATTCTGATAGGCTCTTGTGACATTTATTAAGGCCGTCATGAAAGAATCCCTGATTCTGATCCAATTTTTTTTATTTATAAACAAATGGGATTTTTTTTTTATTTCTTCCAATAATTTATGAAATCTTCTAGAAATATAAAAAAAATAACCAGAAATTCTTTTTTTTTTTATCTCATTTTGGTCAACACAAATTATTGCGGGCAGACTAGAGAATCTAGGAATTGATTTATCTTGATCTGATGACTCTTATCTTGATATTACCACTTGTTGTGATTCATCTCCAAAGAGAAATTTAAACATAACAGGTGCTTTTTTCATTGTGTATAAACTTGCCTAATAATTGTGTAAATAGCTATAGGGAAATAAGATAAATGTGTTTGTCTTAAAAGTTATTAATTCAGATTTGATTACATTCTTAATTGATATAGCATTTAGGAATGTTTTAATGGATAGATACACTTTACTGTACAGTCACACACGGACTATTCCATTAAAATGGAGTTGGGAGAGCAGGAAGGGACTTATAAAACCCCGCTACACGCAGCATACTTTCTTTGATTAAATTTTCCTGCATCAAATGCACTTCTCACAAGAAAGTACTTTTGACCTGTCCAAAAATAAAACTTTCCTTCCCTCTTTCCCTTATTCTTTTTATTGTAATAGTCCTCATTTATTACCAAAGATCATGTACAGAGTGATCTATGCATTTTTTCTGAATTCATGAAAAGTTGATCAATTTAAAAATGTAGTTTAGAAACTTAATTTATTAGCTTAGTAACACGTTTATTATCTTTTCATGTAATTTTTCTTTGTTTATTAGTTATACTGTTTAGATTAGATGAAATACATACATTTTATAGCTTTTGTCATATGTTTAAATCCTAAATATGACATTTAGATAGTAGATTTTCACTTTTTCAAATGAAATTGGCTTATAGATAAATATATTCTGTTGGAGTTGTGAACATTTTGACTTACAGTAGGTATTAAAAGTGCCTAGTTGTTCGAAATTCAACTGTTGTGTTAAATATATATATATTTCATAAGGATCTTCATATAATCACTTATAGTTCCCTGGAATGGAATTTTAAAATCTTCTATAGGTTGATGTCTTGTATTAGAAGTTAGAAATGAAATCTATGATTATTTTGTAAAAATATCAGTCAGTGGCTTCTGGATTTTATAAGTCATTCCCTTGATTTACATGTATACTAGTACTAAAGTGAAGAGCCTTGTCAAATTGGTATTTGTGATGGGTTTTTATTGCATTTATACAATTTTTGCTTAAGGTTTGTTTAGTTAAGATAGAAAAAATATATTCTTGTTATTTTCAAATTATAAATATCTTTTATCTCAGAAAGAAGTTTTGCATTTGTGCAAATATATAAAGTCTTTCCCTCCACTAATATTTCTCTATTTATTTCATATATATATTTTTTTTATGACACTACATATTTCCACATTTTGAAAACAGAACATTCCTTCCATTTCATTCTGAAGTTGTTTTTTATTCATTCATGGGTTAAATCTGAGTTTTTCTTATTTTTTTTTTATTAATATTTATCATGAGAATATAATATTTTAAAATGTTTTAAGGATTGATGTACATTGAATGGCAATAATTTGTGTTTTGATAAATATGTACTCCTTACTCTATACTGAACATTTGACATATTTTTCTGTGACTCCGGAAGTCCAGGTGCATTACATTCCTTTATGTCAATCCTGATTACCTCTGTATTTGTTCCCCACCTGCGTATAACTTTTATATATCATTTTTTTTTTCAAACTGTTTTTCTTTAAATTTTGAAAACAGTCATGCTTTAGCACTCCCTTTCCACAAAGCCATGCCCCATCTCCTAAAAATTTGAAGAGAGGAAATAAGAAACTTTGGATAAGAACTGAATGATAAAATTTAGTAAAAATTGAAAAAAACAGTTATTTTAGTGCGTCTATGCTAAAAATGATTTTAAATGGAAAGAAAAAAAGGTGCATATGGTATTTACTTATCATTTAGTTTACATAATGCTCGGTACAAACCAAGTTGTCTGTAAGCACATCCATAATTTTCTAATCAAAATTAATTTGTTTGAATCTCATCTAAAGGTTTTATTTTAAGACTAATGTTTTAATGTCTTTATTAACTATTCTTTTATTATTTTATTTCGTTGATAGATTAGAGAATTACCTCGTAATATTCTCAAAATCAAACCTATCAAAATTCATGAGAATATTGTACAAAAGATTGAAAAAGTCTTTTTTCTCTAATTCTAGCTATGGGATCTCTTACTCTACTGTGCTTTTCGGATCTGTCAGACACCTACTACCTGTTTTCCAATGCTTTGTTTTACTATAGAATATGCTTAGCATAACAATGTATGCATTCTTGTTTACAACCTGCCTGTCTGCTACAAATTACAATGGCCTACTACCAAATGACCTTATAAATAGTGGAAAGGATGCCATGTTACCACATTGAAAATTCCTTTATTAACTATGTATGTTAGTAATGTAACCTTGGCTAGTGGAAGTGTCTTATAATGAAAGCATACTGAAAGATGATCTTCAAGTTTTTTGTATCTTCTCTTATCTCATAACAATAATTACAATGTTCCACAAGATGACTTTAATGAAATGTGTATTGTTCTTATATTGTATTTATTATTTTTTAATAAACTTACATTGGATAGATTGTATTTTTTTTGGTGAACTTATATTTTGTTAAGTTTCTGTTTATTTTCATTGGATTTTTTTATAATGAATACGAAATGTATACAGCTTTAAAAAATGTTTTGCAGGCATAATGATAAATTCCACAAAAGGCTTTTCTAAGGATGACACAACAATTGATAAAATGATTCACACGAAGAATTTAATGAAATCTTTATAGGTCATATTTATATAGCATTTATTTTTTCAAATTTACTTTTATAGGATATATTGTGATAGTTTTGATATCCATAATTTCGTTAGTTTACCTTTATTTGAATTTGTTTTTTGTCATGAATATACAACTTATAATGTTTTGTAATTAGTGTAAAGACACATTCCTCTAAAAGTTGTTCTAGGCAATATAGTATGGAATTTATTGAATTTTAATTTCAGTTTTTGGCATTAGTAGAATTCTGATAGATATTTTCTTTGAAATGCAAAAGAGTTGTAATTAATGTTTGGGGTAGGGAGGAATGTGAAATAAATAAATCATTTAACAAAGAACAGCTGTTTTTTTCAAGGCATGCTGTGTGTTGGCAAGGATGATAATGAGTAACAACTTTTTAGCTAGAATATAAAAGCATACCACAAATATGTTCATTAAAATTGTATGATTTGGATATCAAAAGGCTGTCATTTCACATTATTCCCAAAAAAAATGTCCAGGAAAGCTCTAGGATGCAGTTGTTATTACACTCAATGCATGTATCAGTCAATAAATGATGAGGAAGTGATATTGAAAAGTTTATTGTAATCATTTTAGTGTCTCACTTTTTTTATATAACTGAGAAACTTCAGTACATTTCAATATTTCTTTTAACTCAATGAACAAACAAAAAGAATATCCAGTACTATTTATTTACCATTACATTGTTGTAGTTTAATAACTTACATGTTACATTAAGTGCAATAACATTTGTATAGTTCAATGTTTCAGGCAATATTTGACTAAGTTTGAACAAAACAAAAAGCTCATATTTTTAGAAGCATTCTATTGTAGAAATAGTTGTATGCAGATTTGTTTTGGTATTATGATAATATATAGTTATCTCTAGTTATTTCAAATCATAAGTTCTGTCAGATTTGTTTTGGTATCATGATAATATATAGTTATCTCTAGTTATTTCAAATCATAAGTTCTGTCAGATTGATGTATCTGCATTATATTGAGTCATGATATCTCACAATTCTTGTTATCTGAAATTATTTTTGTCAGTCTG